AATTCTTTCAAAACCCACTATAAGTTGTTAATAGGAGACTTCAACCCAAAACTAGGCACACGAAAGAACGACGAACTGTAGGTGGGGAAGTTTAGCATAGGGAAACGTAACCTAAGTGGTCAGCATATTGCCGATTCCGTGGAGGAAGAGGGATGCCTAATGACAAATTCTTTCTTCCAGAAGCGGCCCACAAAAAGTGAATCTGGTTGAGCCCCGACGGTTCGACAAAAAATGAGATTGACTACATTATGATGACTAGACTAGACTAGACTAGAGCCGTGGTAGCTCAGATGGTTAACGCTCGCTGTAAATATAACAGAGAACGCGAGTAATCTGGGTTCGATCCCCGCTGGCACCAATGAAATTGTTAATTGCAATTTTAAGTGCTGATATACCACATGCTCGGCGGTGAAGGTGACCATACCATGGTGAGGAAACCTGCATTTCTGAGAAATAAGAAAAAAAATATTTCGAAGACATGTGAAGTTCGCCAACACGCATTGGGGCAGCGCGGCGGACACTTCCTTGCATTAAAACCCTCTCAAAAATGAGGGGAGACCTGTGCCCAGCAGTGGGACGTATATAGGCTGTAACTTTACTTTACTTTATTATGACTAGACGGCAACTGTTCAGTGATGTCCCAGAGATCGCAACGGTGAAAACTGGCAGCGATTACCGAATGGTTACAGGCAGACTGAACCTTAATGTTAAATTGGAGAGGTCTCTACTAACTAAAATAAATGCTTCATCTCCCTCGTGCTTTCATCTAAAGTCCCGAAACCTTTCAGCTCAAGTAACAAAACCGTTTTCAGTGCCTAGATAACTGAAATGCAGTGGACGGTATGAATGATAAGCTCGTGAAAACTGTTTATGTGGTCGTAGCTAAGTTCTGCAAAAACCACCGCAGAAGAACACAAAAACATTCTGATCAAACTCGTAATCTCTTGTCTATTAGACGGCAAATGAAACTACAGTCTTCAACAGATTTGAAAGTATTCAGGCAACTGAATAGACAGATCTCCAAATGCATGCGGCGGGACTTACGCAACTTTAATACTGCTCTTATTGAAGAAGCAATCGATCGGAACCAGGGCTCCAAAGTCTTTGCCAGAGATCTGTCTGCGAGAAACAGCCAACTGTCGAAACTGAAGACCGAGTGTAGCAGCATCGTTTCCGGAACACATGAGATTTTGAATGAGATTGAAAGGTTCTATGAGCTGTACACATCATTGTTGGAGCTACACGCAATTGTGAGTAATAATCAAAGAGCAAGATTTATCCAACACAATTCCGACAATACCCCGTACGTCAGTTTGAGCAAGATTAGATTTGCTGTCCAGCACCTTAAAAACGGCAAGAGCCCTGGCAAGGATTGAATTACAGCAAAGCTTCTGAAAACGAGCGGAAAACCGGTACTTAGTCCTTCAGAAACTTTTCAGTTCCGTCCTTCATGCTGGCACTTCTCCGAAGGCGTGAAGTAAAAGTGCGGTGATCTTGTTATTCAAGAAAAGCGACAGCACTATCTTAAAGAAATACTGACCCACTTTTTATGAGCCCCGTCTACGTGCTGTTTTCGAGAGTTATTATGAATAGTCCCGCAGGCAGATTCGACGACTTCCAGCCTCCCGAACAAGCCAGTTTCCGAAAAGGCTTCATTACCATAGTTCACATACATACCCTATGGTAGATTGTACAAAAGGCCGAAGAGCACAATCTACCACCTTGCCTTGCGTATGTGAACTATGAAAAAGTCTTTGATTTCATCGAAATTTGGGCGGTGCTACAGTTCCTTCAGCGACGTCAAGTTGAGTGTTGGTATATCGAAGTGTGTAATGTTTGTAATGTTTGTATAGTAGAGCTGCCTATTCGAGTACAGAACCAGAGTACGAAAAGGTGTAAGACAGGGTGACGTTACATCCGCGAAACTCTTCACAGCTGCATTGGAAGACGTTTTCAAGCTACTGGACAGATAAGGATACGGTATTAACCTCGATGGCTATTACATTACTCACCTTTGATTTGCCGACGATATAGTCCTTATAGCAGAATTGTTGGAGGACGTGGTTCTTCACTGCTGGTCATATGAGGACGCTCAAAGTTGCTCAGCGAGCTATGGAGAGGGCTATGCTCACAGTTTATTTGCGTGATAAATTTAGAAATGAGCATATCCGCAGTAGAACCAGAGTGACCGACATAACCCAACGGATTAGTAAGCTGAAGTGGCAATGGGTCGGCCATATATATTTTTTATATAGGATAGGGTGACAAACGAGCTCACAGTCCACCTGATGGTAATTGTATGCTGTGGCCCATAGACATCTATATCTATCCTTGATTACGAATCAAAATGCAGATGCGTTGTCACCCGTAAGAACTAAGATGGAATGCCTCGTTTCCAATGAAAAGGTCTCTGCAGCAATGTAACTGTAGCATGGCTCTAATTCGTATGAAAACGACACACGTATATAGCTTGAAGATCTGACAACCGATGGGGAAAAAAGGTTCTTGAGTGGTAGCCTCGTACCGATAGTCGTAGTAGGATCTGATAAGATATGCAGGAAGTCGGTGGATGCATGTGGCTCAGGACCGTGCTTTATGGCATTTCTTGTTTAAGATCAGTAGTGGACTTGTGAAGGGCTGTAGTGATGATGATAATTTAAAATAAGATTTAAAAAGATAACGTAGATAATTAAAATGAGAGATTAGCCATCATAAAGAGACAAAAAGAGATGAAAATAGCAGTAATAGCAATACTCTTTAATTTGTAACATAAATTGATTGAGCACGCTTATAATAGAATTGAAAATATTTTTATAGAGGAGTACAAGAGATATAGAAGGTAACAATTTTCTCCTAAGTGGAGGGAAAGGTATGAGTGGAGTTGCGATTTTGAAAACGTTCTTTTAGTAGGGTAGGGTTAAAGTGGAAGTGATTCTTATAAATATAAAAAAATATTGATTTGTAAAAAATATAGAAATACTAGCTGTTACCCGCGGCTTCGCCCGCATGGTCACTGGGAAATGAACTATCCATTGCTTTTTGAATTAAAAGAAAACTGAGTTTTATAGATTTGTCAGAGATGCAGCCATTAAAAGGAAACTGAGCAAAATTGATTCGTCAGCCTATTTAAATGTTTTGAAATGCAGCTATAGGAAAGCATGAAAATAGCCTGTTTATTCCAAATGGAAATGGTATATTTTTTTAATTAAAGGATTTATTAACTGAGTATAAATATCCGTCAGGGATGCAGACTTTTGAAAAGAAACTGAGCTAAATTGATTCGTCAGAAATGCAGTTTTCTGAATTGAAAGGAAACTGAGCCAAATAAAAGATCCGTTAGAGATGCTGCCTTTTGAGTTGAAAGGAAACTAGAATGATCCGTTAGAGATGCTGCCTTTTGAGTTGAAAGGAAACTGAGCTTAATAGGTCCGTCAGAAGTGCATTATTTGGAATTGTAAAGAAACTGCGCTAAAAAGGAAATTTTGATATGAAAGTACAGATGGGCAAAGCACCGGGTTAAAACCCGGTGCTTTGGTAAAAACCCAATTTACACCCGTAAACACCCATAAACACCCAAAAAATTGTGTGTTTATTTAATTTGTGTAAATACTTAAGTAATATTAAAAACAAGTTTTAAAATTTATTTTTATTGATTATAATGATCAGTACAACTATAGAAATTTAAAGAAACGTCACCCAATATTAGTTTTCGGTACTTTCATGTTGTAGTTGACCAACATGTTGGCCTTTTGCTTGCCGTAGATATTTTAAAATTTCCTCATAACACCTCGTGCGTACACATGGCCGTATATATTTAAATTCTTCAGCCACTAACATTTCAAAATACTCGTTTCTTTTATCATTTTCTTCATACAATTTTGCGCATTCGGAACAGTTTGTTTCTCTGTTCTGTTTTTTTTTCATTGTGGCTATCCCGGGCAAATCTTTGGATACTGGGTCTCACTATATAGTCTCACTATATTTGGAGATCGGCTACGGCTGCGGCTTAGCGGATTTCTTTTTTCTACAATTACAAAAAAAAAATAGAACCGCTATGCGAACACAAGCGTTCTAAGTAGCTTATGAGCTAGGTAAGTAATAGGTACAGTGTAGGTACTTACGTTTACGTAGATTTTCTTTTATTAATTGTTTTATAGAAACGTCTTCATCTCTAAACTTGCCTCCATTTTGTTTCCAGTGATTAGCAACTAATAATGCCCAAATTAATGTAATAAAGTTATTTTATTAAATATTTTTGCACATAAACAATACCCTTCAGTAACCGCGGCTGACTTTCTAGAACAGACAGCGAAAGAATAACGCACGCACGTTATGTCAGGTATTATATGTATAAGGGAAATTCCCTGTATCTATAATATATAGATTTACGGATCTGGAATCTTCCTTTCTGAGCCTGTCATTAATGATCAAATCAATCTTATTAAAATTTCGCCATCTATCGTTTAGTAGCATTAAAAACAAATCCTGTAGCATTAAAGTCATGCGCAGACGATTTTCATTAAAATACTAATACAAGCTAAATATTCATATGCCTTCTTTATATAAATTTAGTTTTACGACAAAATCGAGCTATTAGATAAAATAAACGAAAAAAAAGCTAAAAGATAAAAGAATCTTTACACTAATGGGCAGATTTAAACCATTCGTTCGGTAAGTCTTACGCGAAAATCGTGCCTCAAATATTTCAGCTTTTACATTTTTTTCTCCCTAAATCTAGGGAAAATCTACGAAATTGTCAAAACTGCGTAGTTGATCAGGGCAGCAGCCTACAAATGTTCCGATTTAGTTGGAAGTGAAGTTCGTATGAACCAAATTCGGCCAGACCGCGTCAAACACGAATAATATTTATTATGGTAAATTAATTGGCCGTCGGATCGGAACGTGTGTACACACTATAATTATTTCACTCCGCAAACTTTCTTAAGATATGACTAGCACCATCTAGTATCGAGAAGTGTTTTCACATTACTTTATTTATAATGCAAGTCATAACCATAATAAAATATTTTAAAAAGAGCCAACGATTGACTTCACTTTTGAGAAAATTCAGTCAGGGCCAAGATTCTACACGAACACTAAAATTGCCTTGTGTTACTAGATGGGGAAGTCATATTACTTCATTAAAAAGTTTAAAAGCAAATAGATCAGCTTTGCAAATATTGGCAGTTCGAGAAGACGTGGAAATCGCAAGAGATATTAAAGATTTAATTCTAAGTGATGATTTTTGGACGAAGACAGGTGAATGTATAAGTATTTTGGAACCAGTCACTGAAAGCATATTTTACTTAGAGAGCGACCAGAATCGTATATATCGCACATACATTACATTTAAAGATATACAAGCTAAGATACGTTTCACTTTAATCAATCAATCAATAATTTTATTCGTTTATCTGATATTTCAACATCGAGCGAAGAAAGCAAACAGCAAATTCTAACATCAGTCTCTTCAAGATGCAATATGGCAATTAGACCAATACATTTGGCATCATATGCTAGACCCTACAACTCAGGGATTAGAACTTACTCAAGATGAAGAACTTCAGGGTATGGAGTTTATCTACAATTTAAGTCAATACTTGAGTTTGTTTAATGTAATGGCAGATTTGGCGTGTTACAAAGCTAAAGAAAACTTTTGGGCCAGACGATTTCTATGGAGCTCATTAGATAGTATTGAGCTCATAATAAGGTGGAAAGGTATTTGTGGTTCCACCGAGCTTAGCAAAGTAGCGATTCGTATTCTATCAGCTCCGTGTACTTCTGCAGCCACCGAGCGTTCCTTTAGTATTCAAGGCTACATACATAATAACAAAAGAAATCGACTTGCAACTGAAAGAGCTGAAAAAATTTCATTCATTTGTTATAACTGGAATCTTAAACATAAACATGAACACGAAAACATTCAGTTTCATGAAGAAAATGAAGAAGAAAATGTCATAGAAGCTTTCATCGATGAAGTAAATGACTATAATAGTTCAGACGAGATGGAACCTATCCAATTTGTCGTCTGTAACAATGTTGAATCGGATATTGATTGATTGCATTTTTATTTTATTTTATCTCTTTTTTTAATAAATAAATAATTAACAAATATCTTTGGACAATTTCACACAATGCTACCTAGCTCCAAAGTAAGCAACTAATTTGCTTATGTAATGGGTGCTAGCTTACTGGATATACTACTTATATACTTTTTAAATACATGTTTTATACATAGGAACACCCAAACCCGTCATAGAAATTCAAATTCATCATTTCAATTTCTGTCCCCCCCCCCGCCCCCCGGGATGAGAATAGACTCAAACACAATTTTTATTTTGTAGGCGACATAATAACATTACTTTACTATATTGTTCGTGAGTCTGACTTAGAGTCACATAGTGAGTATAAATAAATGCCAAGTAAATGTTATGACTGAAATGAATTTTCAATCATGAATTCGTGACTTTAATTTTTACGTGTTTTTATTACTGAATATTAAGTTCGTGTTTAATGCGGATCTCTTCTACACACTCGGAGGGCCACAGCTCAAGCTAACCATATCCGGTCTTTCATGTCGCCTTGGTCTATCGAAAGAAAATACGGAAACGGGTAGCTGGAACTGTGGCCTACTGTACCAGCTAGCATTTGGTGAGGTTGAGAAGTAGAATAGGTTTTCGAATTTAAGTGAAAAATCGTATACAACCAAAAATTTGGGTGTTTACTGGGTTTAAACCCAAACACCTTAAACACCGGGTTTTTACCCACCTGGGTTTAAATCTTGGGTATATTGCCCATCTGTATATGAAAGGGAAGATCTGTGGGAATTCTGATTAATTGATTGTGGGAATTTTTGAAAAAAAACTTAACTGAACACTATTTTAAGACGCTACTGTACACAATGTTATATATTTTTCCATTTGGGGAAAGAATGTGGAGATTCTGGGCATTTGAAACACGCGAACATGCTACATACAGTTGACGCCGCTACCTGTAACGTTTGCCCTTGCGCTTTATTAATTGTCACTGCAAAACTGAGCTTAATAGGGAACTGCAACCTTTTGAATTGAAAAATAAGATCTGTGGGAATTGTAGGGATCCGTGGTATAATAATATTTTCACCTTTTCCTGCGCCTGTCAAAATTGTAGCACCGATTATGTTCCTTCCAAGATGTGTCACACGCTGCCTTGTCCCGTTACATAATCGAGGAGCATCTAAATTTCGCGTTAGCATGACTGTGACGCCTAATTTTAATTGAAGCTTATGTGAGGGCACACCTGACAACTCTAGAGAATTTAGAAACTCTGCGGTATATGAAGTGCTCTGTTCTGTGTTCATAACTGTGTCTACTGACAAATACTCTGTTATTTCTCTTGCTACTTCGGTTAATATATCTGAATTTATTTTGTTAACGCTCTCATTTTTTGGTGCAAGAATCGCCCTTTCACATAAACATTTGTCTTCATGCATGTTGTTCGTTAAATCTACTAAATTACAAAAATCTCTCGTCAATTTAACGCAGCCCTCAGCATCCGTTTCCAACCACCCATCGCCAATTTTTAATAGTGTGTCAGTATAGTTTCCAGCATTGATATCATTATACAAATGCACTCTCATATTCGTAGTTAAACTGAATTTTGTCACCTTGTTCCATAAAATAGATGACTTGAGGCATGCTTTAGTTTCATCTGCAGGTGTGCCCTTTTGAATGACAGGTAAAGTTTGGCGAAATTCACCAGCCATTAAAACCACCATTCATCTCATTAAATCGGTATTGCTGCGCAAATCCTAGAGCGTTCGATTTAGTGCTTCTACAGCTTTTTTATGCGAAATTGTGCTTTCGTCCCATACTTCACACACAAAGTTTGCATTGTCGTAGCATTATACCTCGTGCACTATTTTTGCTAAAGTTGCAGATCGGTGATTCTTCCTGGGCTAGATTTAGAGGGAGTTTCAAAACAGAATGTGTAGTGCGGCCTTCGCTTAGCAGCGTGGCGGCTATACCGGAGGAAACTACGGTCACAGCAATGTTTTTATCTTTCCGTACTTGCGCTAATAATACATTTAACAAAAATGTCTTCCCAGTTCCTCCAGGGGCATCTAAAAAGAAAAGTGCACCATTTATAGATTCAATTTGTCCTAATACTTTGTCAAAAACTCGTTTTTGTTGCAGAAGCAATCGGGGTACAAATTCGGCTACTTGCTGCTACAAAACTGGTGTATCGTAGTTTGTTTCACGTATAATTTCATCTCTTATATCATTTAGTTCATCATCATCATCATTTAGTTCATTTTTTATTGTTCGCTGAGGGCTTATCATTCCAAAGTTGCTTAATTTTTTGCCTACCATTGCCATTACCTTACCTTCAATTTTTCCAAGTGCTTTATTATAAATGTGTTCATTGTATGTCATGTTCGCATGTGTCTGCTGTAACCTTCGCAAAATATCTTTCGCCATATACTCTTTATATTTGTCCCTCAATTCATGTGCATTAGATAGCCCGCAAGATGATATGAGAGTTGCATAAAGATCCCTAATTTTGGCTGGTGACTGGCACTGCACAGCTTCCTCCATGGTTTCGTCCCAGTGATTATCTTTTTCAAAAAGATGCAGAGCTTCACATGCTTCTCTATAAGCGTAATATTCTCTATTGCGCATTCCTGACCGTTGACAGTTTTAAGGTCTTAATATCCTGTAGGAAACCGAACATGGTGCAGCAGCAATCGTAAACAGAAACACACACACACACGACCAAGGGCATCTGATGACTTTACACCGGGCCAATTTGCAACAGGCGCGCCTTGAATGAGGCATTTTCACTCCTTTCTAGTTGTGTTGCAATTATAATAGCCGGGGACTTCAGAATATAACAACGTTTTTGCAAAGGGGTCGGTTTGACAAAGTTGAAAGAAGGCTGTTTATGTAGTTTTTGGCGGTGATGCAATTCTTTCTTGGAAATTTCTTTCGGTGAAATATACACGCTCTCCATTTTCTAAGTGCACAGCAAGGTGAGTAACTGTTGGGTGCCTTTCGTGTAAAGGGGAGCCAAGGAGATGCCACGTTGCCTCGTTACTGCTGACATAAAGCCCTGCTTGAAAGGTCTGTACTTCATTAACGGGATTTGCCTCACCTTCATTCCTGAGATTAAATATTGCTTGGTCGCTTCCTTTATTTATGTACTTACAGATATACTTGATTGCGCGGATAGAGCTACATGTTTCTACATTAATGTGGGCACTAAACATTTTACATAGAATGAGCGAATACGGGACAATCCAGCTGTTATCTAAGGTTTCGAACGCTCCAGAGGAGATTTGATTTAACTTTCCTGCCACTATCTTAGTTTAAAATCTTTTTTTTGTTTAGATTTTTTTATTTCCTTCGTATGGCGTTTCGGATTATCTTTTCGGAGGTATAATTCTTTATCTTGCTCATGATCTGGAATCTCGGCGCTTATTATGTTGTCTATTTGGCTGGGCCGAAACTTCTCTTTAAGCCATATTAGAATGTGGGCATGCGGTAATCCTCTTTTATGCCATTTAATTGAATACATGAAGCACTGCACCTCTCCGGAAATTTTCCCTTTGTTAATTACATACATTAATTTTTGTACTCTCAATGTAAATACTCTAGCAACTAAATCGTGTCTGTCAGTACTTTTTTGGCCCGGCATTAGCTCCTCGGTTATTTCTTTCCATGTGGGATTGCAAGTAAAAGTAACAAAAAGATCAGGTCTTCCGTAAGTTCGTACATAGGCGAATGCGTCTTGTGTGCTACTCATGTAGGTAGCGGGGACTGTAAATGAATGATGAGGTCAGAATTACCATTTTACCCAAATCTCTAGGGTTTACATTGGCGTTGCTAGAAACTGTATCTTGTAAATGTATATAATTTTCAACGCGCAGCATTTTTTGATTTAAAGATATATAACCGAGACGCTCAGTTTCTGTTTTAACATACATGTCTACCAAAAATTGATGAAATAATTGTCTACATCGGGTTAAAATCGTTTTTTTCGAACATCATATGATACGCATAAAATCAATACATGATATTTTTTTGTTTGGAGTAGGTTCCCTTTGTGACTGGGTTAATGAGTGGAATTTGAAAATGATAACCCTCTTGTCCTTTGCAATAAATCAATGGGTATTGCAGAGCGTCATAAAACTTGTGTGTATCGGCTACCCGTTGCAACGTATCATCACGTGCTCGCAAGATAATGTCTCGTGAAGAAAATTGATCACCACTAATTACGGCTGCTATTTCGTTTATCAAAGGTGCATTATAGCGCTCTTCTCGAGGGGTCCGATCTGCGTGAATGACGACTTTATAATCCTCTTCAGGTAGATTTTCTAAAGCAGTTTTAAACGTTTTGAATAAAATGTTAAGTTCATGCAAGAATCTTTGAATTTTGAACACTGTGTCTCTCTCAACTCCCTGGATAAATCAGCAGCGACGGTCTACCTCAACTTCTTCGTCACCCATAAAATATACTTGTAAAAATTTATGCTGTTCATTTTCAGCTTGAAAAAGTGAACCTATTCTATGATAAATTTGCCCTTGCACCGCAAATGTAGGCGAAAATCCCGGCATTGTTTTTTCCCGGTCAACTCCGAAGGACGTCATTTGAAAGCATGAGTTATATTTCCGGGTCCTGTTTAAAAAGCGCCGTGACTCATGAGCATCATGTAATAAGAGAGTTTTTAAAGGTTCTTCTGGTTCCCCAAGTAATGGAAGAGACACTTTGCTATTGAAACAGCACATGCCTGCGGTCTCATCTTTTCATTTTAAAGTGCTGCAAAATCGACACGCCTTGTCCATCAGTCCGATAACAACTAACTGATTTTTATAATCAATCAACGGATTATAATTGAATGCTGCGTCATTAAAAACTGACCAATTATTTCTTTGAAAATTTTGTCGACGTTCAGCTTGGAGCTGTGCATTTGCATCTCTTCACGCCTGTGTCTGTTCTAGTGTTTCAGATTCCCTTATAGTAGATTGACGTTCAGCTTGCTCAATGAGTCTGTATTAAGTTTCATCAGGTGTTTCCGCGG